TTACATAAAGAATCATGTCCTCAACTCTTCGAAACCTTTATTTTGCTACTTCCTCCTTTACAAAAGATATTATACCTTCTGATCTTCGAATTCTTTGCCTTGCTATACGTTCGTTCACATAAGATATTATGCCCTAAACTCCTTTGTTGTGCTACACCCTCCTTTACATGAGGCATTGTACCCCAACTCTTCATTACCTTTGTTTCGCTATATGTTACTCTACATAAGATATCATACCCTCAACACCTTTGTTTTACTACACCTTCCATTGTATAATGTATTATACAATCAGTTCTTTGTAACCTTTGTTTTGCTTCAAATTTCTTTACAAAAGATATTATATATTTTACTCTTTGTAACCTTTGTTTTGCTACACCTAGGATTACAAAAGATATTATAACCTCAACTCTTCATAACCTTTGTTTTGTTGTACGTTCTTTTACCAATTTTTTTCTCATTATTGGCACGGAAAAATATTGACATTCTGTATTTTGTCTACTTCAATAGTTTGTTTGAAGTCATGTTATTTCTAATAATATTGTGGTACATGTAAGTGTCAAGAAAATCATTTTGCTTTAGGATTCTCTCTATAGGTTTAAATGTTCTACTGCAATAATTTCCTATTATTCTCATTTGTTCGTTACTTTTAAAAGAGGTTTTCAGATGTTTAGGGTAGCAATTTCGATGAATTGAAAGGGATATTGTAGAAACTTCGAAACTGACATGACATTTTGAATTTCTTGATTTAGATTTGAAGGATAACATATCCTGTAGGCTCTTATAAACATAGAAGTTGCAATAGGTGTTTTAAGATTTTAGTAATGGCACGAGAAAAGGTGTACGTAACTGAGGTGGTTCGTTAGGTAGACAGGGCGGTCCTGTGTCGGTTCTAGTCATAAAGATATAAAAAAAAAAAGTGAGTTGTTCGTTTCACATTCACCTTTAAATTTTATAGTGTTGTGAAGAAGACTAAAGTTTTGAAAATCACTTTGTGATTTGGCCAGACATAAAAAATATCATCTAAGTACCTCAACCATGGAATCATCATGTTGGTCATGTCTGTCGAAGGAGGTAATTTACTTTCAAAATACTCCATAAAGACGTTGCATAGTATTGGAAATTATGAATTCTTCACAGCTACTCCGTATTTTAAATATTGTTCTAAACAGATTAATTCGTTGTTTCTTACAAATATTTCAATGAGCAGATGAAAGTATTAATTAGTTGCTGGGCTCATTTCATGTAATTTCGTTCGAGAAGCCCCCCCCCTCCCCAGTGGCTCAGTTGTAACGATAAGTAACGAATTTCAGTACCGCAGTGGGCACAGCACATACAGCCTATTGTGTAACTTTGCACTACAAACAAACAAACAAAAATCTTTTGAGAAATTATATTATTTCTTGTACTGGTACATTATTAAACAATGCGCCAACGTTGAGACGTACTATTTTACCATCAGTTATGCTCCTCAAGGGAATTTCAACTAAGCTGTATAGTAAATTTATTTTCACAAGACTCTGTGGGACTGAAGCGGCCAATGAAAGTGTTTAAACTAGTTTCGTAGTCTATGCGTTAATATTTTGTTCCAAAAGTGTAGTTTTTCGTTAATTTCCATAAATCACAATTTATAACTAATTTTATATGTCATGATAACTAATACTGTGTAATATCATAAAACAAAGCGTACACGAAAAAAAAAAACAATTAATATGGATAATCACAGACACAGGTCAATGATAACCCTAAATATAACTAAAATGCTGCTCAAACGATACCACAATTGAGTTTTTACAAATTACGAACACGGGACGATTACAACTCTAGTCAAAATATCCTAAATAACGCTCCAACTATGTCACAATTCAGTTTTCACATACCACAAACACGGGAGGGACGATGACAGCTTTGGTCAAAATAACAGAAATGCTGCTCCAACATTGTCACACTTCAGTTTTCACACATCACAGAGGGGACAGTGACAACTCTGGTGTCGAAATATCTATTTCTTTGATTCAAAACTTTAATATGATCAACCTCATGAACGATGTCCCAAGTGGCACAGCGGTATGTCTGCGGACTTATAACGCTAGAAACCGGTTTTCGATACCCGTGGTGGGCAGAGCACAGGTAGCCCATTGTATAGCTTTGTGCTTAACTTCAAACAAACAAAAAATCATGAACGATATTGCCAATATGCTGAGAAATAAAATAAATATTGCCACAGAGAAGCTTAGAATTTGATATAGTGCACATTCAGGCTCTTATTGGTAGCGACAGGACATGTCAAACATTTAAATCTAGAAACCGTCTTCCAAAAGAAATATTGCATTATTACTATCTACAATAAAGACGATGTTTTTCATAACTTGTATTAAGGTCCTATACTTTTCATTGTTGTATGACGCTAAAAATTATATTTAATGCATGCGTTCATCCTCTCCTTGTTTATATATCTGACCAGTTTGCCGACTGTATTCTTGTTCTACTTATGTTTTTATGTAATTAGTTTATTTACTTATTTAGTCATTACTCTCATTTACTGTATTTTGTCACGTGGGCCAAGCAGGTCCGACAGACCAGGTAGCAGTTGGAAAAACATTTTATCACAGTAACTGTAGGGCTTTTTAAACTTTAACTTGCAGTTTAAAACTTGTTTCTAGGTAAATAGATAGACGTATAATAGAATGTATGAATCATTGTAACAACACATAATAAATTACATGTGTAATCTGCAAATGTACATGCGTGTGCTTGTTTATAGCTATGGTGAGTACGAGTGCCAGTGAGCACCTATTTTTGTGAATCAATAAGTGTTTGCAAATTATTAATACTTTCAACAAAGTACAGTAAAATTAGCACAAAATTCAATCTCGGAGCAACTATTTTTCAGAAAGTTTCTAGGAGGGCATGCCCACAGACCCCTCTAGCA